GAACATACCCAATTCAATTTCGGTGTCAAATTCAAATTAAACGAACATAAAAATTTTAAAAAATTCGGTGGGATATTTAAATTTCAGTTGAGAGACTAATTACAATCGGTGTACGGATCCGTTTGGTTTAACCCATAGCCCGTACCACACCAAATGCATTTTCTCCAAAACAATAATTTCTTTTTGATCCAAGGCTTGGGCTTGGTCGGGTCATGGCGAGGCAGGCAGCGTGCACGCGTGTGTCACCAAGGTTGTGTAGGTACTCGCTCTACTCACAAAAATGTGGTATCCATTAGGACCCAACTTATGAAGCTAACTAGGAGTATATTAACTCACCTCTTCTAATGTGGGACAAGCCTTATACACTACACTTCATTAAACTTAGTTCTTCCACTCATTCAAGGATTTTGAGACATAATTTCTCATTCAATACTAAATAATTTTGAATAAATAAATATATCATGTTAATCTCCTCGTAGAGGAAAACACGTTTAAACTTGATCATACTAATTTCGATGTGTGGATTCGACTTTTATTTAAACCTAAAGTCAAAATAATTGTTCTAAAACCATTATTTCCAACAAATGTTTGATCCATTTGATGGTACTTAGTTATGCTCTCATGTTCATGATGGTTATTAGATAGTGCACGTCTGTTGGAAATTGCTCCAAAATTAGTTACAAGAAAGCATGTAATCTTATGATTTCATAAAAAATAGAATGAATTCAAGTACACTTTTGGTATGTTTACAATTTTAAGAGAATGAGTTAATTTAGAGTAAATGATTCAAATATATTGACTCAAAAAGAATAGCTAACTTGATTCGAGTTAGATTAATTTATTCGATGCAAATGGATTATTTAATACAGCTTGATTTGATTATTAATTTTGGTTCGACTAAACGATCTCGAACTTCAGAAATATTATATATTAATGTTCGAGTGGATTTGTGAATATTGGGTATGCCAAGTCCGGAGGTGAACATTGCGAAGAATGCCGCACTTAAAACTCTGATGGAGGGGTCGTCTACGAGGTAGAACTCCATGCAAGGTAAGTGTGCCACCCTATATCTTTTATTAATAAATACTTAAGCTTTGTTTATATGTTTATGTTGTGATTTCATTTGAGACTTAACAACTTAGCGGTAAACTATTTTTATGTATTGGAGGTTGTCTAAGTGACAAAATAAGCCTTTGTGGCTTGGGTTGATTGCATGATGGAATATGTGCATACGATTCAAGTTGACGGTTTGAATGGTGAATTTACTTGTGAATGTGATCCGTCTATATGACGAAACAGAAAATAATTATGCGATTTGATGTGTCTACGTGACAGAAAATATTAAGAGAGTGTGAGCAATCTAAATGACGGGAATTAATTGTTCGATACGAGTTGTCAACGTGACGAGAATTAGCTTTGTGATTCTAGTCGTCTAAAGGACGGGTGTCTACGTGACGAGATTTAGTTATGTGGTTGAGTCATCTAAGTGACGCGAATGAGAATTATTTATGTGTCTTGGGTTTTCTGAAAGACGAAAACTATTGATGTGGTTTGAGATGTCTAAGTGACGACTAATATCTAAGTGATGATACAATCTTGTGATACATGTTGCTTGGGTGGCAGAGTGGTAATTTCCTTGAGAGGGTGTAGCGCAATGAGACAAAATCTCGCGTTTAAGTTATGGAGTTATGGATAACGTGTTCTTGCAAATTATTGTATTTTGTTAATTCCAATTATATCTATGGGAAACTATTGGGTACTCACTGAATATTTTTTTAAAATCTTTTCAGGTAACCTGTACACAAGTCTACTAGATGACCAATTGGGAGTTTCAAGGGATGGGCTTGAGTCTAGTTTTTTTTTTTCTTTTGACTTAAGTATTTTATGGTGTATAAAATGACACTCGTAATATATTTTTGGGACATAAATATTTGGTTTTGTATGAGTCGGTGTGCTCACACCTATATGACTCTTTATTAAAATATGTCATAGTTTTGCCAATGCTGGCTTATAAAATATTAACAGCAGATCTTGAGACATAATGAGTTGTCTAATTTATATTTTTAGTTTTAAACCCCAGGGTGTTAAGATTTTTGGTATCAGAGCCTAGATTTATAGGTTCTGTGGTTATGGGTGTCTAGGTTAGCAGTGGACAGGTTAAAATGTTCAAGTTAGTGAGCATAAATGGGTCTAACATGCTAATCATGAGTGCATGCGAATTTGATTATGTTGTGAATTATAGCTAAATTTTTGAAACTGTCATGGATTCTCTCGAGGGTCAGAATTAAGGGGAAGGTGAAGGTTCTCACACTCCTACTATGGTTGAGGCAAGAGATAGACAACAACAGGAGGGCAGAGAAGATGACCAAAATCAACCTGATATGATTTAGAGGGCGTTGGAAGTGATGGTGCAAGTTGCAGCATCATCAAACTGAATTGCGAAATTGCAAACATAAATTCTGGCAACAGCTTGAGCAAGACCACTTGTATCCCTTGGGGAATCACGAGGTACGGTTCATAAGAGGTTTATAAAGTTGGATCCTCCAATGTTTGCAAGAACAATTAATCTATCGAAGACGAAGGACTGACTAAAATACATGGAATCAATCTTCAAGGTCATGCACATCTTTGATGATCAACGAGTGACTCTTGTAACCTTTATGCTAAAAGAGGAAGTACAATTTTGGTAGGAGGCTGTTGGGCGAATGTTGGTTGCACCAGTGGGGGGAGTTGAAGGTTAGGCAGTTGGTAATACGGGTGTAGCACTTATCCGTGTTACTTGAGATCAACTCGTTAGAGTGTTAAATGACAATTATTTTCTTGAATTTTATCAATATGAGCAAGATATAGCATTCATTACCTATATATAGTCACATATAATTTCTTATACATATGTATAAAGATGTAAAGTCCTATATATATATACTAGTTATTGCTTGGGCCTGAAAACACAGAATAATAAAAAAAAAGAATAAACATATTTGTATTCATTTTCAAAATTAAATCACAAACATAGAGAAAAAATAAAGGTATTTAAGCATTGATTTGTAGTAGGGGTGAGAGGTGGTGAACGACAGTGGTAGTGGTAGGAGACGGTAATGGTTGTGGTGGGTGGTAATGATCGTGGTGGTGGTGGCGCCGATGGTGGTGACAACGGTAACCATCGTTGTGGTGGTGGCAGTGGTAGCGGCGGTGATGGAGGCGGGGGGTGGTGGCGATGGCGACGATAGTGGTGGGGGGTGGTGTTGACGGCAGCAATGGTGGTTGTGGCAACGATGGTGGAGGTGGTGGTGGAGGCGGTGGCGATGACGGTGGTGGTGGTGGTGAGGCGGTTTCAAATGCTATTTTTTTTATAAATATTTATGAGAAATACTTTCTAAAAGTAATTTTAAAAAGTCAATCCAAACACACCCTTAGGGCCTTATTTTTCCTATTAAATTTAGGATGTTAATATTAACCGTTAGATTAATTTTAAAATAAAATTTAAAGTGATTTCAACCGCGAATAATAAAAGTCATTTTGTTTATTTTTTGAGATTTGAATTGTAAACTACATTATTATATAGATTAGTTATTGCCTGTGTCTGAAAACATAAAATAATAAAAAATGATAAATAATAAATATATTTGTATTTATATCGAAAATTAAATCACAAACATAGAGAAAAAATAAATGAATTTAAGCATCGATTTATAATGGGGGTAAGAGGTGGTGAACGACAGTAGTGGTGGTGGTAGTGGTGACGACAGTGGAGGTGGTGGTGGGGGTGGAGGCGACGATAGGAGTGGTGTGGCGGCACGGTAGGAGTTGTGGGGACGGTGGCGGTGGCTGTGGCGGTGGTGGTGGTGGTCGTGGGGATGGCGATGGGGGTGGAGGTGGTGGTGATGGTGGGGGTGGCAGCGACGACAATGGTGGTGGTGATAGAGGGAGTGGTGGTGGTGAACGACAGTAGTGGTGGTGGTAGTGGCGACGACAGTGAAGGTAGCGGTGGTGGTGGTGGTAGTGGCGACGACAGTGGAGGTGGTGGTGGTGGTCGGTGGGGTGGCGGTGGGGGTGGGGGTGGCGATGGGGGTGGAGGTGGTGGTGATGGTGGGGGTGGCAGCGACGACAATGGTGGTGGTGATAGAGGTAGTGGTGGTGGTGAGATGATTTCAAACACTATTTTTTTTTTAAATATTTATGATAAATAATTTGTAGAAGTAATTTTAAAAAGTCACTCCAAACACACCCTTAAAAGCTTATATTTCCTATTAAATTTAGGGTATTAATATTAGCCGTTAGATTAATTTAAAAATAAAATTTAAAGCGATCTCAACCGCGAATAGTAAAAATCATTTTGTTTATCTCTTGAGATTTGAATTGTAAGCTACTTTATTATATAGATTAAATATATATTTTAATTTTTGCTATGAAATAATATACTAATAGTATACACACTCTAATCAATCTATTTAACAAAATAAAAATTAATAATTCTAGAATATAATTAGATGTATAAATGCATAATGTGGTCAAAGAGATACCTAAATAAATGATAAATTAGATACTCAAATACATATAAAATAAATTAATAATTAAAATTTAGTAGTAATTAAAATACGAATTAATTATCCAACACTTAATTTATTATTTAATTTAATTATTTATATAATTCACATTTTTTATTAAAAAATTATTGTTTAGATTTTGAGCACGCAATAATATATATATAAATTCTGATCATATTTTACCCGATTACCAGACATTTTGTTTGGGTAGTTTCATTAAAACTGGTGCAATTAAAAAAAAAAAAAAACTGACGCGATTAAGATATCGGGTCTATACAGAGCAGTCTAGATTTCTCTCTCATCCTTTTACTTGGATTGATTCTCTCTGGATCAAAGTCGAATCGAATCAAATTTTCTCCAAAACAACCCTCAACTTCCCCTCAAATCAAACCCTAGACCGTAGGCCCTCCAATCAAACTTGCCTTAACCACCTCCAACACGACGCCGTTTCCTATGTCGACGGCACCTTCTTCGAGCTCCGGCACTATCTCCTCCCAATTCACATACGCATCGAACAGTTCCTACTTTCCGACGCCGTTTCACCTTCAACAATCACCCTACGCCGCCGCTCCTCCTCCGCCCGTCCAAATTCCCTCGCCACCGGTCAAAGTCCCCGTTTATCCCGCCCCAGCGCCGCTCCCTGGCGCTTACTCCTTGCCACAGTTTCAACAGGTGAATAAATTAACAAATTCAAAATTGATAAACACATTCAATTGATGCCTTAAATTTCGAATAGTTTAATTTTCTAGAGAAAGTAATACTTCCAAGTAAATCCAGATAGTGGACATAATTTTGGTAGTTTTTTGTAAACAGGCCCAGCAGCTATTCCAAAGGGATGCACAGACAATTACACCTGAAGCACTTGAGAGCGTAAAAGCTGCCCTTGCAAGCAGTGAAATCGAGCACAAAGCCGAGACCAAAAAGAAAGCAGTACCACGCAAAGCAGCGGGCCAAAGTTGGGAAGACCCTACTCTTGCCGAATGGCCTGAGAGTATGTTTGCCTGCCCTATTTCGTTTCCTTATGATTGTGTAGATTGTGTTGAATTAGCTCCAATTTCTTTGAATTTTATTTGTTTTTGTTTTTGCTTTGCCAAGTGGTTGAAGATGATATATTTTGTTGCTGAATTCATGGATATTCTAGGGCTTCTTTTTAATTTCATTTCATGCTTGTTCTTAGATAACAGTGGCCTTAGATGCAGTGAGAAATTGCTGTCACTTGAGAGTTAATTCTAAGGATGCACCTCGGATAGGTTGAGGGGCCACCTTAGATTCCAACCTAAGATCTGAGACCTTAACCCAAGAACCATCAACCCGAGCTCAGCCTGCGAGTAAGGGAGTTGGGAAAGAGGAGAGACTATATATACGAACACTAGTGTGGGACTTGTACGGTGCATGATATTAGCATCCCATTCTATCACCAGTATCACCCATCCCGTTATCCTCCACCCCTAACCCTTTTAATCCGTTTATTAGTGCTAGAGAGAAAATAGGAGAGGAAGAAGACATGTTAAAAAGAAGAGGAAATGAAAAGTTGAACATAGAGCATTGTGCAATAAAGTTGTTTAAAATTAGGGGTGCAACCATAGTTATTAGTATCATACGATACGCGATAAGTATCGTACAATACGTCACGATACACCTGAAAAATGATATGTATCGTACATCTGTATCGTTTTTGTACCGTATCGTATGATACACGATACAATATGTACGCTATAATATGATACGTGACGATTTTATTTTTTATTTTTTATTTTTTTGTTTTTTGGGGTTGAAATGACATCATTTTACCTTAGGACTTATTTTTAAATCATTAGCTAGTGAAACAACGTTGTTTCAGTGGTTATAGTTTTAAAAAAATAAATAAAGTCTAATGTTAATGTTGTTCAATTAAATTCACAATTTTTGATTAATATTAAAGTTGTTCAAACAGTTAATGTTAGAAGTTTGAATTAGAGGTTTTTGTATTTTGATATTACTGAATTATGTTGAAAATTTGAATAGTTGGTGGAATATTAATGAAATACTATGTTATTATGAGTTTATGACATTTTTATAAAGGTATATATATATATTTTATTTATAATTATTTAAAAATTAAAATTTCGCATATTTTATGATGCACGATACGATACACTATTTTTAAAAAACGATACGCCTTCCGATACACGATTTGACAACTATGGGTGCAACATGTTTGGACAACCTGAACCTAGCCCAGAAAAAATAGGGCTTCGGTTGAAGGTTTTAAAACTTGGGTTGGGTTTGGACCGAAAAATGTCAACTCGAATTGAATTCGGGTCATATTTGGGTTGAGGTTTGGGGTTCACGGGTTCAACCCAAACCTACCCGAATTCACAATTTGGGCCCAACTTGAGATTGATATGTGTAACACAATCCGAAATTAAATTTGGGCTCAACCCGGATTCGCAATGTCTTAGGATTTTGGTTGTTGTAGAAACCTTAATGAAAGGGTTGATGGTGCTTTTTTTCCTTTTGAGTCAGTCATTTTGGATGTCGATTCGTTGGATAAAAGGTGTTGGGTTGATGACCCTTCACCCTTCAGGTTCCTTCTCATGTAACTCTTCAACCCGAATTCACAATTCAGGCTCAAATCGAAATTAATATATGTGTAACACGACCCGAAATTAAATTTGGGCTTAACCCAAATTCACAATGTCTTAGGATTTTGATTGTTGTGGAAACCTTAATGAGAGAGTTGATGGTGTTTTTTTCCTATTGAGTCGGCCATTTTGGATGTCGATTCATTGGGTAAAAGGTATTGGGTTGATGACCCTTCAGGTTCCTTCTCATGTAACTCTTTTTTATGAATTTTTGATTGATAATCCTTCTCTTCCCCTCTTTTATCCGTCTTTAAAGATTTGGTAGGCCAAAGTGCCTTCAAAAATGCAAGTTTGTGCATGGCTAAGTAATTGCTAATGATAAGATCAAGATTCAAAGGAGAAGGTCTAATACTTATCTTGGCCCACAAAGATGCATTAGGTATAATGGGATTGGTGAAAATGTGGACCATCTTTTCCTAAATTGTTGTACGGCTTTAGCATTATGAAATAGATTATTTGATTTGGTTGGGTGGCACTAAGAACTGTTTCAACTTTGTGTGCTTGGACTGTAAAGGTGTGGGTGGAGGAGAGAGGGTGATACTCTTTGGCAATGTGCTTTTTTAGCCATTTTGTTGGTTTTTTGATTGGAAAAAAATTCCAGAATTTTCAAAGACAAAAAAAAAGTGGTGGAAGGAATGTGGAAGCAAATTTACTTGGCATCCTTTTGGTTTCGATGAAAAAGGATTTTGAGAAGGTTCATGTATTTTGTATTAAAATGAGTTGGAAGCATCTTGTGTCTGTCTTGGAATGGACGTCTTGTCCATTTGGATTATGTGCCACCCTGCTTAATCAATTAAGACAATGTTCTGCTTAGCAAAACAGAAAAAGCATCCAATGTTTCCTCTTAGCTGCCTTTGCCTTACAATCTGAATCTTCGTCTGAAGATTGGTTTGTTTGGTTGCCTATAGATGACATGGGTAGAGGAGTAAGAAGTCCCAGTCCTAATTTTTAGTTATAGGAGACTTTTAACAACCAGTTTAAGTAAAGTTGCTACCATGCAAATGATGAATGAACCACCACTAGCTTCTTTAAAGATACTCCTCCTAAAACTTCAAAAAATGCTACAGGACACTGTGCAGTATCTTGATTGTCAAAAGACGTGGATTGGAAAGATTTTGCGAGTGATATGGGATTTGAGATCTCTGCATTGATTTGAGTTCGAATGAATTTGGTGTTGGTGTTTAATTACATGAGGGCGCAAATATCGAAGGAACAAAATCTTGTTGGTGTTTATCCTTTCATAAATGTAAAATTTGTTGCTTTGGCAGTTTGCAATTGGGACAGTGTGGCCCACCCTAAATAAAACTTGACCTCGAGGGTTATAATAGTTGTGTATTATAAAAATTACAAGCTTTAATGGCATACTTTTTCGATAGTTTTAAATTGCATCATTGGAGTAGTTTAGGTTACTTGAATTGATTTAGGGAAAGGAATAAAGAAAATTGAAGTTGGTATGACTTAATTATATTTTGCTATTTAATAATTATGAAGTTAACAAAGAATGACTTGAAAGTTGAAACATGAAAATCAACTCTATTTAGGCAGCTTCTTGTTGGTTGTTATGATTGGCTTCAATAAGATATGAAATTGGGAATCTTTTTTTTTTTTTTTTTCCAGTGAGATGAAATTTGGGACATTCATTATACTAGTAATGCAAGGATTTTTGCTCGAGTAGTGATTATTTAGTGGAGCCCTAGGGCTAATCTAATTTTGGGGAATTTTATTGAATAAAAAGCTTAACTTACAAAGAAATTAGCAATAAGTTGCAAACAGTAGACAAACACCCTTTGAATAGAGCCAAGAGTAATAAACCAAGGTTGATTGTTAAAAAAACATTACGAATACACTAATTATAGCCAGAATTATAAACATACACACAAACAGCCTATTTGGTAGGAGGTATCATGTAATCATGAGGTTTAGTTTCTTCCCTTCGTGCTTCTTTCCCCCTTCCCCCCTTGTGGATTTGTACAGTGAGAAATTTGGAACTCTGTAAATGATTATCATCCATGTGGGTTGAAATTTAAACCTCAGACTACCAAAAAAAAAAAAAAAAAAAAGACCTACACAAGGTACAGATTTGCACTCCAGCTGTTAGTTCGATTCCAGCTATCATGTCTTCTTGTGTTCTAATTTCTTTCCTTCGTGTTCTTAATATTTTTTTTTTTTGTGGATTTGCATGGTGAGAGGTTCTGAACTTTGTGAACCATAATCATCCGTAGAAATTGGTTTGCACAGCTTGCCAAGTAATTAAAATATAGTGGACTTTAAATCTTTAGTTACAAAGGCAGGTATATCCCTACGTGGATTGTAATTATTTGAAGGGCAAAGTATATGTTTGGAATTTAGAGTGTTGGCATAACCTGGTGAGTCACGAGTCACGTCTTGAGTCCATGCTTAAGCGGTTTGAAGATTGAAAAGTGGAGTTGAATTGTGGAAGAAGCATTAAGTCTACATCTTTGGAATCCACCAGATAAGTATGGTAAGTTCACCTAGATACCTAGTGAGCCTTGGTGGTTAATTAGGATAAAATTGGACTAGAGTAGACCTACGATTCATCGGCGGCTGGCGTAAGTTTTTATACTTGGAAAATGTTTTCTAAAATCATATTTGAGGTCTATGTTTGGAATCCAGATCAACAATATCCTTCCGTGCTCAAATGGAGTTTAATCTAGAAAATTTGTCAAACTCCAACTAACACTTGTCTTGCACTCGTGTGAGTTTAGTGAGATGAGTTGGAAAGAAAAGTCAATTCTAGATGTCAGCACTTGACAGGTGCTTGAGCAATAGTGTGTTTTTGCATGGAATTGAGGTCTAGAGATTGACGTTCGTTATCTACTTGCAAGGTGCAAACAAAAAAATAGTCATGAAAATTGCTCCTTCATGAATGTTTTAAGTCAATTGAGCGTACAAGAGTCTTCAAAGTTTGAAGCAGCAAATCCTAACCTTCCAAAATAGAGAAGAAGACTAGAGAGCATTTATGCAAGGTCCAAGGACCTAAATTTCATTTCGGAATAGTCAAAATGGAGCAATTTTCACAGAAACAGAAACGGATCAGTGACTGAAGATCGAATTCCTATGTCTTGAGGAATGTTTGAGGTGCTTCAAAATGCTTGGACAAATATTTTGGATTGATTGAGAAATAAATTTTTAGAGTTTTTGTTTTTTAGGTGACCGAAACAATGAACTGAAACAAAATTTTGATCATTAACAAGATCAAATGCATCATATCATCCCAAAATCGAGTGCTCCTCGTGAGAACCATCTACTCTCACCCACAATTAAACCTTCAATGCTTTGTTTATACTATATACGAATACATGAACATTGTTATTGGTGGATTTCCTTGAGCAGAGTTGTTTCAACTCAGGAATCAATTGGTAAGTTGATTGCGAAGCTCAGTTCCTAGTTCACTAATGTCGTCAAAACTACCATGTAGTTCAACAGCTAGTCAAGACGAGGAAGGTAAGAATCTGTAGGGCTTGAAGTTGGTATTAGTCTTAGTCTTGGATGTGTCGAGTAGATCTTGGTGGAGTTTTAGGCTAGATGATGTCCAGTGATTTTTTTCGTCTGTGTTTCCATGTCAAAGCGATAACTTATTGT